AGGCCTTCACCACCCTACTGTCTGCGTTCATGGGTAATGCATATATGCATATAAGTTCTTCAGTTAATCTCTTCCCCCAGAGATTCCTCAGTCTGTTCCACGTTTCCATGTCTCTGGTTCTATTTCATTCATCAGTTTATTGTGTTCATTAGATTCCACATATAAGTGAGATCATGTGATACATCTTTCTTCAATGTAAAATAAACTGAAACGTCCACTCTTCCATGATTGATTGTGTTCACGTCATGAGTTTTAAAAAAGATAAAAATATTAAAATAGCTTACCTTTTTAATCTTGGCTTTTTCAGCCTTTTCTTCTTTATCACATTTCTTGGCATTCCGATTAAGCTCTTTTGCAGCAAACTTCAAGTTAAATAGGTGTTCTGTAAATATATGTTAAGGCTATTCAAAAAAAGTCATTTCCCAATAACTAACTGCAAACAAGACGTTAAATTTATAAACTTATCAAATAAGATTATGCTATTTAAACCAACTATTCACAAAGTATTTAAGAAAACAGAAAAACCTTTATCTATTCCACATTTTCTATTTAAAAACTTCATTACATTAACAGCAAGAAAATATTTATTAAAAATAGCAACTTTAGCCCTGGCTGGTTTGGCTCAGTGGTTAGAGCATTGGCCCATGGACTAAAGGGTCCTGGATTCGATTTTCGACAAAGGGCAGGTACCTGGGTTGCAGGTTGGATCCCCAGCCCCAGTCAGGGCATGGGGGGGAGACAACCAAATGATGTCTCTCTCATACTGATGTCCATCCATCTCTCTCTCTCTCTGTCTCTCTCTCTTAAAAGCAATGGAAAAAATATCCTCAGGTGAGGATTAAAAATAATAATAAAAATAGTAACTCTATAGTAGAGAAACCTGATAGACACAAACTTTACCTAGGATAAAATCACTCGAGGCAAAACATTTCAACATCATTTACCTTCTAAAATGATGAACTGAGATTACAGCATCACTTCTATGGTGTTGTTGCCAAAAACAAAACCTTTATCTACTCAAGAGAAAACATCAGACAATCGTGAACTAAGACATATTCTATGACATAACTGACCAGTGCACTCTCAAGTTAAAGTTCATGAAAAGCAAAGAAAGACTGAAGAACTGGCACAGAATGGCGAAGACTAAGGTAACAGGCTGACTAAATGGAATGTGGGATCCTGCATCAGACTGTGGAACAGAAAAAGGACATTAGTGGAAAAACTGGTGAAATTCAAGTAAGAGCTGTAGTTAATAATATTGTAGTGATGTTGATTTCTCTTTCTTGATAATTATACTATGGTTTTATAAGATATTAACATTAGAAGCTTGGTAAAGGGAATGCCATAACTCTGCATTATTTTTGCAATTTTAAGTCTAGAACTATTTTAAGATTAAAAATTTAAATTAAAAAAATAACAATGGGGCCCAACTGGGTGTGGCTCAGTGGTTGAGTGTCAACCCAGGAACCAATCGGTCAGGGTTTGATTTCTGGTCAGGTCACATGCCCGGGTTCAGGGCTCGATCCCTAGTGGGAGGTGTGCAGGCGGCAGCCAATCAATGATGTTTCTCTCTCATCAGTGTTTCTATCTCTCTATCCCTCTTCCTTCCTCTCTCTCTAAAACAAATCAATAAAAACATATTAAAAATAATAATGCATATCCCATGGACACAGACAATAGTGTGGTGAAGGCCTGGGGTGGGAGGTGGGTATGGGGTAGAAAGGGTCAATGGGGGGGAAAAAGGGACATTTGTAATTCTTTCAACAATAAAGATAAATTGAAATAATAATAATAACTATGGGAAGAAAAGTGCTCTGTTCAATGACCTCAATAAGCCAAATCATAAATCTTTCATTTTCATGACACAGAAAAAAATATGAAAAATAGTTCTAGAAGCTATAAGGCAAGTAATTATAGGCCTACTTTGTACAAGAACTATTTTTCTTGGACTTTTACACTATTAATCACATTCGTTAGCCTCCAGGGAGCTCAAACCATCCAAAGCTCTACATGCAGAGGGGAAAAAAGCCCTGGAAGAGTACTGATATTCAGAGGTTCTAAAACAGAGTACATGCACATGAATATGAAAAAACAACTGGTTTGTGTCATGATTACATCACTAGTTAGGAAGTTTCTGTGTTTTTCTGCCCTTTATAAAAATGGTAAAATCACCTTTCTTTCTAATTTTGATTCTGTATTTCTTCAGGACATTTATAAAAGTTTTTGAAAGGTACACATGTAGTAAATAACTTAAAGGGCTCGCTTCTGTATTGATTATATCACTATCAGAAAACAAGAATTATTTTAGTTTTTATTCACCAAAGATAAGTCATAAATTAAGCTACATTGTTCATCTCTCAATGGCTTCATGTTTCTAATTTAACACCTTATTTATGGATAATAAGAGGGATAACTTTGCTACTTTGTATTTTTCATCAAGAAAAAATAAGTATATGTGCATGAATTTCTGGGTAATTTTAATGGAAACTATACTTTACAAGATTTATCAATTTTAGCTAGATGACTGAAAGTTATAGCTCCTTTTATAAATAGGGTTTCTCAACCTAAACACTACTGATATTTTGGGTCAGAAAATATTTTGTTGTAGGGCTGTCCTGTGAACTCCAGAAGTTTATGAGTATCCCTGTCTTTTATCCTCTAGATGACACAAGCACCCTACCCTGCAGCTGGAACAATAAAAATGTCTACAGACATTGTCAAAGGTTACTGG